AGGAAGCCCTAGGCAGAGTTGCTCTGCCCCAGGCTTCCTGGAATCAGCCGCTGATCAGTTTCAGCAGCAGCTGACTTGGGGACGCCTGGGTTTCTTAAGTTGAATCTGTATGTAAGTCAGAACTGGCGTCCAGATTCAGCCGCGGTTGAAACTGATCAGTTTCAGCAGCGGCTGACACCAGTTCCGACTTACATACAGATTCAACTTAAGAACAAACCTACAGTCCCTATCTTGTACGTAACCCGGGGACTGCCTGTAGTTAAATTAGTCCTCATATTGTATGCGTAGTTGGGATTATTTTTTCTAATGTGCATTACTTTACATTTATCAACATTAAATTTCATTCGCCATTTTGTTGCCCGATCACTTAGTTTGGTGAGATCTTTTTGAAGCTCTTCACAGTCTGCTTTGGTCTAAACTATCTTGAGTAGTTTGGTATCATCTGCAAATTTTGCCACCTTACTGTTTACTCCTTTCTCCAGTTTGTAAATAGGTTGAATAGGAGGTCCCAGTATGGACCCTTAGGGCACATCGCTAGTTACCTCTCTCTCCATTCTGAAAACTTACGATTTATTCCTACCCTTTGTTTCCTCTCTTTTAACTAGTTACCAATCCATGAGAGGACCTTCCTTGCTTAAGAGCCTTTGGTGAGAGACTTTTTCCAAAGACTTACTGGAAATCTAAGTACATTATATCCACTGGATCCCCCTTGTCCACATGTTTGTTGGCACCTCAAAGAACTCTATTAGATTAGTAAGGCATGATTTCCCTTTACAGAAACCATGTTGACTTTCCTCCAACTAATTATGTTCATCTATGTGTTTGACAATTTTAGTCTTTACTATAGTTTCAACCAATTTTCCCAGTACTGATGTTATTCTTACTGATCTGTAATTGTCAGGATCACCTCTGGAGCCCTTTTTAAATGTTGGTGACACATTAGCTATCTTCCAGTCATTAGGTACAGAAGCCGATTTAAAGGATAGGTTGCAAAACACAGGTAATAGTTCCGCGTTTTCACATTTGAGTTCTTTCAGAACTCTTGGGTGAATGCCATCTGGCCCTGATGACTTGTTACTGTTAAGTTTATCAATTTGTTCCTAAACTTCCTCTAAAGACACCTCAATCTGGGACAATCCCTCAGATTTGTCACCTAAAAAGAATGGCTCAGGTTTGGCAGTCTCCCTAACATCCTCAATCATAAAGACGGAAGCAAAGAATTCATTTAGTTTCTCTGCAATAACTTTATCATCTGAGTGCTCCTTTAGCATCTTGATTGTCCAAGGACCCTACTGGTTGTCTAGCAGGCTCCCTGCTTTTGATGTACTTAAAAAAAACATTTTGCTATTACTTTTTGAATTTTTGGCTAGCTGTTCTTCAAATTCCCTTTTGGCTTTTCTTATATTTCTACAATTAATTTAATAGAGTTTATGCTCCTTTCTATTTTCCTCGGTAGGATTTGACTGACACTTTTTAAAAGAGATGTCTTTTTATCTATCACTGTGTCTTTTACTTGACTGTTAAGCCATGGTGGCACTTTTTTGGTTCTCTTAGCTGCAGATAGGATTTAACTCTGAAACAGTTTTGAAAAATAATTTTCAAGACTAATTTTACTGCATCCATACAACCATGTTTGCTGTAACTAGATTCCTTTTCTTAAAAGCAATGAGGTGAGTGTTTTTTAGGACAACATAGCAGCTTTATAAGTGGCTAAATAGTCAGTTTTTGGCCTCATTTTCATATAGCCTGCTGTATTTCCTGGTATATCTACACAATAATCAGATTTTTCCTGAATGACAATAAATATTCATGCAGGGGATTCTATTTACATTTTAATAAGGTAAAAAGACTGTAACTGGATCCCCAGAGTAAACATATATGACTCCTGACCCAGTTAAAGCACAGTTAAGTCTTTCCATGTAAGTGGGATTTCACACAGTATGAAACTGGCCCTGAATCATGCAACAGCCTGGGACTTTGGCAGGCCTTTAGCACACTTTGGGAACATGATTAAACCATGGCCAAGTTCCATCTATTCTGCAATCTGGGCAAATTATTTAGCCCTGTCAGGGGATGCCTTTCACAGCCCTGTTGTCTACTGGCCTCTTTAATGAATGCAACTGTGAGTTGTTTATATTCATTTTAAAGGATAGAAAACTGAGGTTCTGTTACTTTCCCCCAAAGTAACATGGGACCGCTGGGTCAGAGCCATCAATAAAATTGTCATCTCCTGACTGGTCTTAAATACAAGATCATCCTTCTGGTGTTATCAAGTCCTTCCATTAATGGTGACAGTTCCAGTGTAAATTGAACTAGAGGCAGTAATAAATGGATTCTGCTTGCTTCTCCCTACTGCACTATATTGAAGCATATATCTTTTTTTTATAGTATAGACTAGGCCCAACAGAAACATATAGAAATATATAGAGATTTCATCAATTTTTATTCCAAAGCAAAATTATAGCAATGTAGTTGCAGTTATAGCAACGCCACCTGAACCGTTATAGCTAATAAGGAGTCAGATTTCTTGTGAAAGAAAATTAGGTCTTATAATGGAGGGTTTTACAAAATTTAAGATTAATTCAAATGTTCTCATGAGTATTTAATATTTAGCGATTGGGAGGAAATAATGATAAATGTTCACCAGTTAAGGTTGCCAGGAGTCTGGTTTTGAACCGGACAGTCCAGTATTTGAGCTTTCTGTTCAGAAAACAAATTGAGAAAATATAAATATCTGGTATTTTCTAAATAAGATGCAATGTAGATTGTAATATAATGTCAAGTGTCCGGTATTTTTGTTGAAACCATCTGGCAACCCTATCACCAGCAGTGACATGGAACACTTTCTCTCCCCCCCGCGCCCCATTGTACATGAGAACCAAAAATGAAGCAAATCACTGTGCTTTCATTCCAACTTCATTGTTCCCTTGCCTTGTACAATGGAAGAAACAGATCATTAAATTGCCTCAAGTTGCTTGTGGGGGACCCAGCTTAGTTACATCAGCCTCATGGGGCAACCCTATGACCCCCAGTGCTGCCTGAAATCTCAGCAATGCTGTGCAGCCTAGCCTCTAATATGCCTCACCTGTGTCAGGACATGCGGTGTGCATTGGGAGACTTCTCACCTATCTGAAACTGGGGCTTTTTAGGGCCTGTTGATGGTACTCTAGCCCTTTTAGCCACAATCAAGCAGTACAGGGTGAGGCTTTTCACCTCTCAATGGCAACACAATCAGGTCCAAATTTCCCATTTATTTTCCCTCCCTGCAGAGAAAACTTCATTTCCCTGTCACGTTCCACAGTATCTGCTCTTTTTTTCCTCTTTCACACTTCAAGGCTTGGTATCACAACCAGCGTCCTCCTGTGTAAGGATGATGATTCTCTGTGTAGTTGGCCCCGGCTTAATTGGTACATAGACCGGGCTGTTGTCAGTTTCTCTTTCACAACACATAAAACTAAGAAATTTTTGTGATTTTTTTTTCCTGAACACCTTGAAATAAAAAGAAATGGGTGTCACATGGTGCCATGAAAATGTCATGATTTTGTTTCCATTTTGTGACTAGCAACTAATATGCATTGATCTAGTAGTATTCTATTAAATTTGCAACTTTGAAAAAAATTTTATATTGCAGTAGCACTTAAAAGGCCATAAATGAGCCTGGGTTACCCATGCAAGGCATATCTGTACAGACATAGGAAGAGAGAGTCCCTCCCTAAAAGAATTAAAATTCAAAATACATATTATTGGTATAGTTAAGTTTGAGTTAAAAGATACATGCAGGGTAAGAATGGCATGTATCTTTAAGACTAGAACTATACAGGCAGTCCCCGACTTACACGGATCCGACTTATGTCGGATCCGCAGTTACGAACGGGGCTGCCCCAGAGTACACGGACTGCGGGACCTCGCGGTCCTGCTGCCCGTGTACTCTGGGGCTTTCTCTGCGTCTCCCTGGTCTGCAGACCAGGAAGACGCAGAGCAAAGCCGCGGGGGAGGGGGGGGGCTCGGGCAGCGAGCTGGCTTCCCCCCCGGCAGACTAGGCTTTTCTCCGGACGCCTGTGGCAGAGCAGCTGGGGTGCTGCTGGTTGGTCCCGGAAGAAGCAGCGGCTGAATCTGGACGCCAGTTCCGACTTACATACAGATTCAACTTAAGAACAAACCTACAGTCCCTATCTTGTACGTAACCCGGGGACTGCCTGTCGTATGCTTCAGAAGTTATCAGGAATAAAAGCCTGTGTCTGAACTGATATTTTTAAATTAAAGTTTGTATCTTTGTGCCTGGAGTCACAAAGACACAAAATCCACTTTGCATTAGTAGGCTTTTAGTAGTCTTGGGGGAGGAAGAGAAGATGCAAGAATGAGATTTTAAGAAATGCTTCTTTGTCCTTAGTGTACATAGTGTCTTACCTACTTACTGTGCAAGCCAGCCATATTTATAGTAGGCGATGACAAAATCATTTGTGCAAATTATTACAATTTTTTACAATAAAAAGTAAAATGCCCTAGGCACCATTGTGTAGTCATTCTTCTAACGTAATGTTCAGCAATTAGTGCCCTTACACATTTGTCATTGGTGATACTTCCTGCTCAAGGTCATTGCTGAATGCCTTGAGTACATCTCTTGTAAGTGGAAGTCTTGACTATTTCAACTAATGCTAAGTGACAGGTGCTTTCTACTCACATATGTCAATGGTGACAATATACCCAAATACAAAATGCAGGCTCTGAGGCATAGCTGTGCTGCTGTTCCTGTCCATTCTCCCAAGAAATGTGCACATATTGCAGCTAACGCTAACTGACACACCTTTTTATCTCTTAGGTTCTACAGAAGCATAAAAATGCTCACACAATGGTGGCTTTAATGAAAGTTTATGAAGAAGAAGATGAAGCTTATCAGGAATTAGTTACCTTGGCAACACAATTCTACCAATATTTACTGCAGCCGTTTAGAGATATGCGAGAATTGGCAACATTATACAGACTGGAAATCCTGGTAGGTTTTCCTTTAAAAGATTTTAACTCCCTGGCTTGTGATATGCTCCACCTGCCCCTAGTGCCATTTAGCTTCTGAGTTACTGAAGCATGTCCAAGATTTATGTTCCCTGGCATTATTCCCCAAGTTCATCAAACATGAGTACCATGGTAAAAATCTGAAAAATTCCAAGATATAGCTGACCTGTTGTCAGTAGCCTGTGTAAGATCTATTTGGTGATAAAGGCTTGAATAGCGTCTCATCCCCAGGCTTCAGCTAGCTTTACCTCAGATGCTCTGTTTTGTTTCTTTCATTGATGATGGTGTGTTGGGTTTTTTAAAGCAAAAAACCCTTCAGCTCTGGCATTTTCCTGATATTCTGAGTTTTCAGGGACTTTAGCAACAAAAGAACACAAGTGGTCTTAACTTTCAAAAGGACTTGTGCTCTTTTTTCACTTTTGAAAATTCCAACCATCAGTATTTTATGTTTTTTGCATCAGATGTACCCTCCAATTGTATTAGTATGCTTTTCAGGAGGGCAGTCATGCTTTGCTTTGCTTTTTCTTTTTAATACACTGTTAAAGAAGTGCTAAAATGATGTCTTAGGTGAAATTAACAGAAGCAGAGTAACACAGAGTTAAAGCTATAGCATCATGATTAATTCACTTTATTGAGCCTGCAAATTAAGTCTAAGATCAAAACACAAGTTGTTACAGTAGCCTGTGTGTTGCTTTATTTACAGAGGACCAAACTCTGAAATGTTTTGGTTCTGTTTATATTAAAATCTTAAATATGACACCAGATTTACCCCTAAATGTCTTCTAAGAGCCCATTAAGCAGTTGAAATGTTGGTAATGCTGCTAGAGAGTATTGACCCTGTAGTTCAGCAAATTCTCTGCTTCCGCACCTGTCAGGTCCTGAGTAGGGATGTAAATACCCATGACAATGTTAACTGGTTAAATGAGTTAATTTCTATCATTTAACCAGTTTACTCCCAGTGGGGGCTGTTCCAGGCAGTGGCCCCTGCCGCGTGGGGTCCTGCTGGCCACCCTCCTGTGGGCAGGGGTTTTCTCCAGCCCAGGCTAGCCCTACTGCTCCTCAGCCAGGTGGGTGGGCAGCTGCTCTCCAGCCCATCCCTCCATAACTGGTTACCCCATAAGCATACTGGTAAGGTTAATGCTTATCAGGTAACTGGTTAACCGGTTAACCTTTTATAGCTCTAGAATGCTAGACTAGTGAAGTTGAAACTGTATATTTGAGTTTCTCTTGGTCACAGATAAACCTTTACAGACACAAACGATGAAGGTCAACACTGCTTTAAGAAATAAATTAATCCATTGTTTTTTCTAACTAGCAGTGCTCAAGCCATTGTTACAGAGCAAAAGTGGCTCTGAAAACGAGAACAAAAAATAGGGTCTCTTCAATTAATTGTAGTGACTCACTTCACTGCAGTAGAGTAGAGATCACGGCAGCCATTGTGGTGTGCCTTGGCTCAGTTTCCACTGTATTGTGCATGCTGAGCTACAACACTGTTGGGATTGACGTGTCGAAGAATAACATGTCTCTTTGTAGAAATCTTTACAGATGGATAGGCTGGGCCCTAAAAGAATAGAAGCCTTGCAGAAAGAGGCTGAAGATTGGACTAAGCAGGCCGAAGAAGCGGTGTGCTCCATTCAGGACATCACTGTGAGCTACTTCAAAGAAACTGTAACAGCTCTGGCAGGTAATGAGGGAGAGCTTACTAAGAACTTCATAAGGAGTTGACTTTAAGGCTGTATGTCCTTGTGTGGCTGAGCTGTGCTCAGTACAAGAGAGCAGATAGGAAAAGAGCACCCTGGAACCACTTTGCATTCTCACCCACCTGCAGATCCTGGGGCCAGCATGAACAATCTCTGACATCTATGTATTTGAGAGTGAGAGAGAGAGAGAGAGAGAGAGAGAGAGAGTGCGAGTGCGAGTGCGTTCAAGAATGCCTTCTACATGCTAAGAGCTAGGATCACCAAATTCAGCATACGGCTTCCTCTTATCATAACTTAAAGCAAGGTCTCTGTTTGGTTGTGCCAGGAAAATGGGATTTGCCTGGAATCATAAAACCAGAAGGAACCTCGAGAGGTCATCAAGTCCAGTCCCCTGCCCTCACAGCAGGACCAAGCACTGACTACATCATCCCTGACAGATTACTGCCTAACCTCCTCTTAAATATCTCCAGTGATGGAGGTTCCACAACCCCTGTAGGCAATGTACTCCAGTGTTTAACCACCCTGACAGGAAGTTTTTCCTAATGTCCAACCTAAACCTCTCTTGCTGCAATTTAAGCCCATTGCTTCTTGTCCCATCCTCAGAGGTCAAGGAGAAGAATTTTTCTCCCTCCTCCTTGTAAAACCCTTTTAGATATTTGAAAACCATTATTATGTCCCCTCTCAGTCTTCACTTTTCGAAACTAAAAAATCCCAATTCTTTCAGCCTTCCCGAATAGGTCATATTTTCTAGACCTTTAATCATTTTTGTTGCTCTTCTCTGGACCTTCTCCAGTTTTTCCACATCTTTCTTGAAACGTGGTATCCAGAATTGGACACAGTACTCCAACCGAGGCCTAACCAGCACAGAATAGAGCGGAAGAATGACTTCTTGTATCTTGCTCATAACACTCCTGTTAATGCATCCCAGAATCATGTTCTGAGATTGCTTCTCATGGAGTGGAATTGCTTCTCAAAACCATACAGAAGAGAGACAGAATCACCACATAGGTGAAAGGGGCTGGCTGGGGGCACCTCCTTCCTACCCCCATCCAGGACTGTCCCAACCCCAAACCTTCCACCACCTCAGACACCTTTTAGGGAGGGGGGGAGAACTAAAGCTCCCTCCCCACCCATTTGTATGGGAGCATTGCTGGCTGTTCCCTTTCATCAGTAAGCAAGGGGAAAGTGGACTTTCCTTCATTCTTCCCTCTATCTGGGGGAGTGTAGGGAGCAGATGAATCTGGATCTGTCCCAGCCGGGGTATGTGCCTCTCTCCCTCAGCTGTGCTTGCTGGAGCTGTAATGGCCATGGACAGGTGCTTTTCACCTAGCCCCAAGTTACTGTGGTGAAAGAGGGCTGGGGTTAGTCCTCTCTCCCCGCAGCTGCCTGCGTACTGAACCCCTCGTCCTCAGCTCCTCCCCAGAGCAATGATTCAAATGAAGAAAAACAAAAATTAAGTGAAGGACCCAAGCATGCCATGTAAGTCTTCTAGTCAGTAATAAAAGTGTCTGCATGAAAACTTTCATCGGTTTGATTAAATGGGTTTAAATCCCACCACTGGTTACATCGGTGCAAGTTTGTGTGTAGACAAGGTCTGAGATTTACAGCTGACAAGCCTCTCAACAAACAGCACCTCACGCACATATATTTTACTCTAATTTTTTTCTGGTGCAAACTATTAAGGAGATTTCATCCCATTAATTACATTAGAGAATTTAATGTATTTAAATTATGTGCATGGTGGAACTTGAGACTTTTATTATAATAAAATGCATTAGACTTTTATTATAATAAAATGATTCCTGCCTTGCTAGTTCTAGGATTTCAAAATAATACACAATAAGTACATTAAAGTAATTCCCTCAAAACATTGAATACCAGGCAGCGTTCATTGGCACTTCATTTTATCAGTGCCACAGCATTTATGACACTTTGTTGCAACCCTTTCGTTTGGCAGCAATGCACAAACAAATGGAACAAGATCAGAAAAGGTTTGGCCAAACCACCTGGGCATCGGCTTCTCCAAGACTAGAAAACCTGAAGTATATGTTAGCTAAAGAGACTCTTCAGCACATGAGAGCGCGGGAACTATGCCTGAATCACAAGATCAGTGCCACAGCATTTATGACACTTTGTTGCAACCCTTTCGTTTGGCAGCAATGCACAAACAAATGGAACAAGATCAGAAAAGGTTTGGCCAAACCACCTGGGCATCGGCTTCTCCAAGACTAGAAAACCTGAAGTATATGTTAGCTAAAGAGACTCTTCAGCACATGAGAGCGCGGGAACTATGCCTGAATCACAAGAGAGCTGACATCCGGAAAAATGTAAGACTTTAGCAAACTGTGACTCAAATTCTTTTCTGTGATTCCAACATAAGGACCTCACGCAAAGCCCACTGTAGTCAGTGGGAGATGTTCAGGGGAGATGTTCAGGGCCAAAAGACCCATTTCAGAAGAGCAGTAAAGTGCCATGCGGAGTAGGAGAGTGGTCTAATTGTGATGAAAAATGTCTTTGTTTAAAATAAACCCAAACCAACCAGGATTTCCTCAGACCATTTTGGGAGGAGGTAGGGAACCTCCCACTTCTAGACTTATCTGATTTTTTTTAAAATTTATTTTGGGGAAGGAGGTAATTGAAACAAAAAAGGCTCGTCCCCCCCTTCCCCTTTTTTGATATTGCGGGAAAATGCACATTTTCTCATTTTTTAAAATTATTACTCAGCCCCTTCCCCCCCAGGTGTGCATGGGATGGGAAAAGATGAATGCTTAGCAAAAGGTTACAAATTCAAGTGTTATTTTTACCTTTTTTAAAGTATGTCCACTTGTTAGTGTTAACACTGAGAAATAAGGTATTTTCAGGTAAAAAGGAATCACTTATAATGATTCAGGATATATTAACTTGAAATAGCATTGCATCAGAAATGGGAAATATTGAGCCTTGACTAATACAAGAATTCTAAATGATACTGTCTCTAACCACTACTATATTGTGTCATTTTATTTTCCAAGGACAGTATATAACATTGTCTCCAGTTACTCCTAAGTCCAGTGCATTATATTTTATATAAGGTCCTTTGTAATCAATTTCTGCATACTGGAGACCTGTTATTAATGTTATCCTTTCTTACAGGGGGTGGGAGGAGAATTGTGTATGGCACAATATTCTGTTAATTAAAAAATAAATGTGATGCAGTGTCATGAGACAGTATTTTTATTGGATAAAGCTTTTCAACAGTAAAATCAAACCACTGGAAATAATTACTATTGTGTCATTTCTGATCTACTATTGTATTATCTCTGATCAGTTTGTGGCACACTCATTCATAACACTTGTTTGGCCATTTTTGTTGTATTTCATTTTGAAATAACACAGACTTTGGGTTTCAGTCCTAGATCAGGATTCTACCATGTAAAATCAAATGCTGCACATGAATGTCCAAACAATGTGGCACTGGCCCTCATGAATGGAGATCACATAGAGACCTTCAAAATTCAAAGCTTGGCTTTTTAAGGACGTGATCAAATACTTGACTGTTACCTTTTACAGGAGGCCTTAAACGTTTTGTCTTTAAATGAACGGTTAACAGAAACTCCTGGTTAATGAGGGTCTATCTAACCACATTCACTTTCTGCTGCCTTTCATTCTAAAGCATTTGTTGTGCTCATCATCTTGGCAGCTAAGCATGTGTCACTGAGGTAAAAATTTTTGCAGGTGACTATGCCCAGTCATGCCCTATAGATCTACACACTATGCAGTTCTTTTTAGTAGGCATTAGCATTAAAAGCAATGAACAGTCCAACTAAACATCCCTTAATTGCTCATCATTCAGTCTCTTGGAACTTGTGATGTCTCCAGTTGCCACGGAGTTGTCCTGGAAAGATGAGATTTTAATTACTAATGGAGAAAAAAAAATCAAGCTTGAAAAAAAAACTGTGTAGGTGTTTTTTATCTATATAATAAGATTACAGGTTTGTCACTGTGTCCCTCTGAAACCTGAAATGTCTGTTGAGTCAGTGTGAAACAATGGGAATGGCTACAAGCATGGTTGAGAGTTCTTTTAGTTCAGAATATACCAGATTCAATCATCAATGGGATTTGTTATAATCCAGTTTAAGTTCTCAGCCATTTTCAGCTTTCCTTTATCCACCACTTGACAAATTTTAGCCATGCACCAGCACAGGCTTTCAGCTATTAGTTTGTTTATATATTGCACACAATTCTTACTGGTGGTTTTCATTCATTCATAAATAAGTGCCAAAAAAGGGCGCACAGCTATGTCTCATGTCTCTCTTTTGCTCACCGCAGCCATCTGTCCTTAGCTGAAATGGTGAAGTAGTCAGTCTGTTGTTTTTACTCCTGCTGTTTCCATCTGCATTGCTTGCTGGGTAGAAAGCTACCTTAGAGTTTGTGTGTGTGTCTGTGTGCACTTTCCTGATTCTTTGTTGTTGTTTTTTTTTCTCTTGTTCGGAAACGTGCAGATGGAAAACCTAGATGAACAAGAGGAGAATGTAGCTCTAGTAGAGAAGCTGGAAATTGAGTATTATGAAACCCAATTGGAATTGTATGATGTTCAGTTTGAGATACTTAAACATGAAGAAATGCTGCTTATTACACAGTTGGAAACTTTAAGGAGACAGATAAAAGGTAAGAAAGAAAAGCATTATTTAAAGACAAATAATAAAGCCAAAAGTTCTTACAAAGAGGTGTACACATCCTACAGAAAAGTAGATCACTCTTACTTGGCTTTTGGTGCCAAGAGAGAATTGCTAGATTTTGTTAGTGCCGAAGCAACTTTTGATTTGTTGTCTTCCTGAGCAACTTTGGTAACACTGTTTGATAAACGGACATTAGGGTTCACATTGACAACATATTTTCTTAACTGCCTCTGTGACATGCACGTGCATTTGTTTTGTATGTACAAATCAAGAAACATGTGCGTGTGTGTCTCTGTCTGGTCCTACAATTACAGTTTAACCTCTCTAGTCTGGCACCCTTGGGGTCTGACTGATGCCAAATCAGAGAATTTGTCTAGCAGCATTACCAACACTTCCACTGCTTACTGGGCTCTTAGAAGACAGTTAGTGGTAAATTAGAGCTAAATCACAGCACAGAACACAGAGCCAGGACTGGTGGCTGTTAAACTTTATGGGTCTGCAGGAAAGTTGGCTACACGCCTGATAAGTGGACATCTGGTCAACTAAAATCATGCCGGATCACAGATGTTGCCAGACCAGAGAGTGCCGGATTACAGAGGTTCAACGTGTACCTGATTTGTGCATCCAAACTGATGTGCCTGCAGGTACTGTGACACAAGGAAACCCACTAATAATTGGATCCTAAGATTGAAAGTTGCAAAACACACACTATTTAAGCCAAAAAGAAGCGATAATAATTTGATGCATAAGTATTGATCAGGGCTAGCAACAGATTTTTGGCAAGTCCCGGGCAAAGGCGGGGGAGGGGGGGGAGAGCTTGAGCTTGATTCCGGGTCCACCAGAAGGGGTAGGACTGAGAGCTAGCCGCCCCTTCTAGCCCTCAGCACCACCAGCCCACACCACATGGGGCTCCAGCAGTAATTTAAAGGGCCTGGGATTTCTGGCTGCTGCTTAACTCCTGGGCCCTTTTAGATCGCCAAGCCCCAGGAAAAGCTGCTCCTTTTGCCCCTCCCCTCATCATAAGCCCTGGTACTGATGCTTCCTTGTTGTTTTTCTGAACTCTTGTATATACAGGCAGTCCCTCGGTTACATGGATCCGACTTACATTGGATCCCTACTTACAAACGGGGTGAGGCATCCCCGCACTAGCTGCTTCCCCCCAGCAGACCAGGGAGTCGTGGAGCGGCTTTTCTCAGCAGACACCTCAGCTTGAGAATAAAGGACTGAGGGAAGTGAGGTGTGGGAGAATAAAACTGAGCTCTGGAGAAATGTTTGGCTAGAGTTTCCCCTACAATATGTACCAGTTCCGACTTACATACAAATTCAACTTAAGAACAAACCTACAGTCCCTATCTTGTACGTAACCCGGGGACTGCCTGTATTTGCCATATAGTGTTGGACATTTCTCATATTCATACCAGTCCACGTTAAGTATGCACCATTATTTGTAAATGTGACAACAGATGAAACAAACTGCTTAGCGTTTGTCTCGTAATTCCTGTCAGTTTGCTGCGAGACTCCAATCAGTGAATAAAAAAGTTAGACAAGTTATTCCAGAAAAGAAGACATTTTTAATAGGAAACCAAATGATGGCAAGTGTGGGTGTATAAGCGTGACCCTGCAGACATGAGTGACTTTCCTCATCCTTACGGGATTAAAGTGACAATGTGCTCGTAAGCGTTTGCAGGATCAGACTGAGAGCGTGTCAGAGGAACCTGCCTTGTTTAAAATTGTACATCCAACAACTTGGCTTATTGGCTTCTGTGGTTTTTAAGGTGTCATTAGCTCTCCTAAGTGTTTAAATATTTAAGGAACTCTGGAGTTCGTGCGCTGTTTAAATGCCGACTGCCTTTCTAGAGAAACAGGATGAAGTTGTTTACTATGATACCTGTGAAAATCCCGAGGAGCTCCACGTCATTGAGCAGGCAGTGGGACAACATTGTACCTCCTCATCAGAAATCACTAAGCTGAGGCTGAAGACTCAGCACCTGGAGGCTAAACGTGGGACTATCTGTGCGAGACGAGCCTACCTCAGGAACAAAAAAGTAAATGTGCTCCCAGAGCGGTGCAGCTGCTTTCGCTCATACCTGCTGGCTTGCGACATAGATAGAAAACAGTGGAGGAATCTTGGGAACAATATACAGGGCAATATATATGGGACTAGGTACAGGAGGAAGGGGTTGAGGCAGCTTCACATGCCACTGGTCCTGGCTCAGCTTCCCACGATACCTTAGAGTTGCTCTAACTTCTTCTGGTTGCTGGAGACTCCTGGGATTGATAGACACCGGGGATTAGTAGAGTGCAGGGAAGTCCCGGCCAGATCCCTTGCCAGCAGCTGGAGGGAGCATGGGCTAAGAGCAGTAATGCTGGCTCTGTACCACCAGAGGATCGCTCCTTGGTTGTTATGCTGGGTTTGGCCCTTGCACTGTGGCAGAAAGCATTGACAGGCAGGGGAGACTGTGGCCCAGAGTGTAGGAGGCTGCAGGTACAAACAATTAATGCAGTGCAGCGGTTCCTTCTTTGCCTTTGAGGGCGATGGTCGTTTGGAAGGGAGTTGTTGCTGCAAATTAGTCCAGGCTTTTCCTTGCGGTGGGTCTTTCGTTTACTCACTGTTTTGTGCTTGTGGGAGTTGCAGTCTGAGAGCAGCACAGTGGAAAGACAATACAGTCACAGTTGGCCCTTGCAGCCCATGAAGCTTGCTGGGATGCTTTCGTTTACACCCCGGTAACCGCACTGAATTAAATTCAGAAAGCAGAGTTTGGCCTGTCTCTCCTGCTTCCTACCTCCCTCTCATAGGTTCTGGAGCTAGGGGTGCGGAGGGTATTGCAGCGCCGCCTGATCTGAAGAGGGTTCCATTGTATACAGGTTTTAAAGCTTAGGTCAGTGGTGCTCAGTATCCCCACTATACAAACTATTCTAGCCCCCCCCCAGCCCCTTGGCTCCCTCTAGACTGAGCTTTCTAGAGGAATTAGAAGAGTCTCATGGGAGGCACATCTGGAACACAGTCAGTCATTCTGTCTCTAGTGACCACTTCCTCCTCAGAGAACATGTTTTGCTTCTGACTTCATTCACTTAATTGTTTAACCCTGAAGCCAAGCCCAGCCCCTTGGCTCCCTCTAGACTGAGCTTTCTAGAGGAATTAGAAGAGTCTCATGGGAGGCACATCTGGAACACAGTCAGTCATTCTGTCTCTAGTGACCACTTCCTCCTCAGAGAACATGTTTTGCTTCTGACTTCATTCACTTAATTGTTTAACCCTGAAGCCAAGCGCCCGCTGATTTGTGACTGCCTACCCACACACCATGGATAAAATCCTCCATGTGGATGGTGACGAATAAACCCGCTGATTTGTGACTGCCTACGCACGCCATGGATAAAATCCTCCATGTGGATGGTGACGAATAAACACTGACTGGTGACTCAGGCAAAAATATAATGAAACCCATGTCTTCTCTGACCTGTTCCTGTTGAAGAGTTCTGTACTGTTAGACGTTCCCCAGGCTGTCTGTTGCATGATTCATCTGTAATTCTATACATGAGAGATACTGGGTGGAGGGAGGGAGAAATCAAGTGCAGGGAGTTTCCACGTAACTTACAATGCCCACTTTTTTCCCTGTGTCTCCTTCCTCACGTCTCCACCATCCTTCTTGACTGAGGCTGGCTCTTTAGCACTTATGAATGCTGCTTTTGAATGCACTGCAGGGGAGAGAAGCGGTGTCAGACAGACAGACAGAGACACGCCCCTCCCCCATGAAAGGCCAAGCATCTTCCTTTATAGCATTCCTAAGCCCAGTCTGCCAGTCTAAGACTGTGAACGACTAAGACCCCAATCCAGAGTTCTCTGAAGTCAGTGCAAAGATTCCTACATGTTTCCATTCTTAGGGCTCATGCATTGTATGTTGAGCGCAGGACTTCTACATCGCAGGACAAAGCAAGGCCACTCTGTAAGAGACCTTTCAACTGCTTTAACAGCACAGATTCACACACGCACTTTCAAAGTGAACCAACTAAGGTTTGCATGCGTTATGCTGTTCCCTCAGGATCAGTGTGAAGAGAGCCACCAGTTTAGACTACAGCAGGCACAGGAAAGCATAAACCGCATCCATCAGCATCACAGCATCCAGCTAGTGAGTATGCACAAGGCGCATTTCTTGTGGAGATTGTAGCTGACTGACTAGCATGCACACTTGTTTACTGGCTTGTCTTTAAATGCAGAAAAGAGACAAGAGGAAAGAGGAGGAGAAGAAGAAAAAAGCGTGGATAAGCCAGGAACGCCAGAAAACACTGGAGAGGCTGAAAACATTCAAAGAGGCAAGTACTGAAAATAACATACGAGCATTTTTAAAAGGCATCTGACTGAAGATGTCATGTGAGTAATAGGGTTAATGTGAGCACGGGGGCTGAGGAAAAGGGAGAAGAGTCCTTCCGTTGAATTACTGTTTAGTCTCTCATCCTTTCCAAAGTTCTTGAAATATCATTGAGCCACTTTTGGACCACTACTGTGGACTCTGGTACTTTCCCCCAAAGAGGTAAGAATAGTATCACAGTGGCTTGTGCTCAGAACAGAATTTAACAGCTTTTCCTTTCGACCTCATATGCCCTAAGACAACCTTCACAATCACGTCTTTGGATCTTTGCATAACGAGTAGCCTTATAATTGTCTTGAAATGCTTTGTGTGTGGGGAGGGTAAGGTGCCCTCAAGAGGCAGGAGTCATTCCCATACACGCCAATGGGCACTTGGCAGACAGAGTGGAGACCTAACCCTTAGTGAAGACGGTAAGGTTGATACAGTTGTGGAGAATTCAGGTGTTAGGAAAAAAAGAAATGTGGCACTTATGCCTCTCCGCATATGTTTTTCATGGTCAGGTGTGCACATATGCCTGCTGTGTGTATACATACACAAGTGGGCCTGTGAGTTTGAAAATCTGGACCAGAAGGTATTATCTATCTGGTGATTGTAGCCTCAGTTGACCCAGGACAGGTTTGAAGCTATAAATGTTTCCTATTTATACCTCTATTCTGTTCAATGGCTGGTACACAGAAGCACAATAAACTGTTTAAGACTGAGTTACAACTTGAGGATTTCTAAACCCTGGCTTTCAGCATTTAAATGGGAAGCCCAAGAGAAGCACGTGGTATTTAGCATTTCTGAGCATTGACTTCCAAGTGAAATCATTAAGAATTAATCCAGTAAGGGGCAACGTAAGCTAGTGAGTGGGCCACATGAGTGGCCCTTCATCTCATTGGGCCGCACGATTGTCGTAACCAAGACAGTCTCCCTGGATACTGCAGTTGCGTACCTAGAATTTGTGGGTTGTGTCAATTGAATCGTAACAGCGCTTGGATTGGATGCAGAGGGGGCGCATGGCTCTCACAGTCAATGTTGGGTGCAATCGGCGCGCACCTCACTTCACATGCCCTTGCTTTACATATGTGTCATTGTAGTAATATTGGTAGGAAAAAAAACCTAGCTGGACAAAAACCAGCAGAATCTGGCAACCCTGCACATGGGCAATAGTAAACAAAATGTCTCATGGGCCACACATATGACCCCAATGAGCTTTATGTGGCCACAGGTTGCCCATCATTGAATTAATTCATCATGATCCATGCCGAGTGAGGTGAAGAATAAAACATTCGTACATGTGTGTGCACACAGATTCTTGCAGTGAATAAATTAAAGCGCAGCTCACCTTGTTAGGTTTTTTGTTTTGTTTTTATTAAAGAAAGCTAATCAGAGTTTTCCTTTTCTTGTAAGAACCTGAAATCTCATCTTATCACCCCCCAGATGGAATCATATCATGTAATTACCCTTTTCAGTAGTTTTCTTGTGGTTACATAAAACCTAGCAAAGAGAAAATAGTCTTCCCCAATTTGCAAATCAGAGTGTTTAATTAGAATGCGTGGACCATACTTCTTTCCGCCACTTGTGGGAGGCTAGGCAGGAAATCCAGGCTTATGTGTCTAATTTAAGTCTCACTCCTTTTAAAACTATAAACACGTCTTCCATAAAAAATAGCAAAGATAAAAACTCTTTTTGTGACACCCACATTAGTTTCCATAGCAAGAATTTTTGCTATCCAAGTGGTTATTATTGTCCACATGTATGATTTAGCACAAGGTTGAGAGAGGAAGGCTGGAGAACCTGTGACAAGCACTAGTGTTATAAAGCAGTTCCTTTCAACTTTTCTAGACTTCAGTACCCCCTTTCTGGAGTCTGATTTGTCTTGCATACCTCCAAGATACACCTTACACAAAAACTACTTGCTTACAAAATCAGACATAAAAATACCAATGTGTCCCAGGCTACTATTACTGAAAAATTGCTGACTCTCTCATTTTTAACATATAAATTAATAGGAATATAAATATTGTACTTACATTTCAGTGTATTGTACATAGAGCAGCATAAACCAGTCATTGCCTGTATGAAATTTTAGTTTGTACTGACTGTGCTAGTGCTTTTTATGTAGCCTGTTGAAAAACTAGGCCAATATCTAGGGCCATGTCTACACTACAGATAAGATTGAAGCAGCTGCAGTCGATCTTCCAGGGTTTGAATTAGTGGGTCTAGTGAAGACACACTAGTTCGAACCATCGATACTAGTAGCCCTGTTTCTATGAGGAGTAAGGGAAGTAGAAGGGAGAGCATGTGCCCTTCGACTTTCCCCAGTGTGGACAGTGCCAATATTCAAGTTAAGATACTTCAGCTTAAGATACATTCATAATTAATGAAGCAAAAGTTGCATCTCTTAATTTGACTTTATGCCATAGTGTAGACCAGACCTAGATGAGTTGAGTACTCCCGAGGAGATATCTGCATGTAGCTCAGGTTGAAAAGAGACACAGCATCATTAAGTCAAGAGAGCAGACCCACTCACACAGTGGTCCCTCCTGCCAAGACTTGCCATCTCAATTGCAACCATGTTTGTCCTTTAATCACCTCCCTGCTTTATCCCAAAGAGTAACAAATCAAACAACTCAGGGTTTTTTCTTGGGCGTGACTTGTGTGGCTGGTATTGGTTCCTGCCAGCAATCTTTTCCTTAGACTGGGACCGGGGGAAAACCATCATAGACTGGGATTTTCTAATACAGAAACATTAGCATCATTTTAAAAGACAGTTAAATGGATGTTCACCAAGTGGTTAAGGATGTTTGGCCTTTCTGATCCATTAGAACTGCCTATTTAATTCCATTCTCACAACAGGACTAATGCTCCACTACTCTTCTGTCTAAACTGAATGCTTAGAACCTCACACTTGTGAGTAGTTGGCATGATTCAAGTCACATTTGTATGCAGTGAACATAGGGGAGGAAATCCACTAATAAAAGCAGATTTTAGTTTTGGGCTATTGTAAAAACTAGGAAGTGGGGACATGGTTTTGAGAACGTCTTTGATACTCTTTTAAATCAATAGTGGGGAACTTAAGACCCAGGGGCCGGATATGCCCCCCAGCTTGCCTGGATCTGGCTGCCAAGGTTCAGAGTTCCCCCTCATGGCGCAAAGACTTACACTGAGCACTCGCTCAAGTGGGAGAAGCCAAGTGAATCGATTTGGGGTGTGGAACCTTTTTTTAGATCGGGGGCTGCTGAGTCTCAGAAAAATCAGTCGGGGGCCACACACAAGTGAAGGGGCCCCTCACTGAGCAGGAGAAAGACACTCTCCACTTTCTCCTCACACCCCAGAGCCTAAGGAAGCCCAGCCTAGTAGATCTGAACGTGCCAGCCGCGGGGTGGAGACTCCCCAATGATGAGGGCTCTTTGCACTGTTGTTTTGACCACCATTAACTCCCGGCTTCTCGTTTTCTTTGCAGAAGTGTCCAGCTGAGTTTGTGCTGAAGACATCTCGGTCGCAGCCTCGCAGCCCCAAGCAGCCACAGGCCACTTCCCGTCAGACTCTAGCATTGTCCCCTCAGCCTGTATCAAGAACGAGTTCATCCCATAAGCAGCTGAAAAGCACTCGGCTGGCACAAGCCAGAGGTTTAAAAGCAGAATGTGGGAATACCCCAGCAGACATCCCTGTCCAGATTTTTGTCCCTGCTGGTGACCCCAAGCAACAAAAGCACAGCGAGGGGCTGATTTTACCACCACCACCACCTCCACCTCCACCTCCTCCGCCGCCGCCGCCGCCAGTCTGCCAGCCTCTGCCCTTAAAGACACCAGTGACAACCAAAGATCAGCTGCTTTCCCTCAACAGTGAAAGTGCTGCAAAACAGAGACTAGATGACTCATCCAAACGATCTGTGAATAATTATACAGGTAAATACATTAATGCTGACTGATCTCTTCCTCCTCTTTGGTATTCTGACCTCTTGCCCACCCTCTTGAAAATAAAGAGCGTTGTTGCAGGAGGCAGAGTTTTCCACAGCTACTCTCTTTGCTGGGGGCTAGGAAAATCTTCAATAACTCTGCTCTGAGAGACAAGGGCCATTACCACTGACCTCTCAGTGAACTCAGATGTCAATATAGGCATTTCATCTGCACCTGTCAACACAGCCCACGATTTTCAGCAGTGGCTAGAGATTGTGAGGACTCTGACGCTCAGAGAATGGGTGCTCAGTGTTTTTTGGAAATCACTGTCAAACGTGGGACCCCCAAGATCACTAGTTACTTGAAAATAATGTTGTCTTATGCTAGAATGATAGTTCAAGCTTTCGCTTCTCATGCTAGAGGTGTAACTATTAACAGCTGTTACAAAATAACGTAAACAATTCCTGGTGCCAGTTCTGCAGGTCAGATATAAGTACTTGTTCTTGCCTTTCTTGTGAACCCAAACTCCCATTGGCTTCTAGGGAGTGGTTCTGGATGTACCCCGAGGCACTTTTAGCATCCTACAATGGGCAGAACCCTTTTCTCCTGAACAAACTCTTGCCACAATCTTAGGAGAGGGAATGTGCGAGTTAAGATTAGTGACACACTCAGGCAGACTGCAGCATCGGGCAACTTTGTTATCACAGGATTCCTGCACTTTAATGTTGACTTCAGGCAATATGAATGTTCCTGTCCCCCAACTCTGAGATTATGGGGTGCCATGTTTGAAAGGTCTGATGAGATTTACTTGGCTTCTAGGTTAGAATTACTATGCCCAGGATCTAAAAATCAAGTTGTTTGTTTTTCTAGATAGTTCAGTGGCCACAGGAAAAATTCCCGCAGCCAAGTTCTACTTTGTCTCCCCCTTGTTGGGGTTGTACAGGTGTAACCAAAGACTGACTTTTGCCGTTGGCACTTAACTAACAGTTCTTCCATATGTATGAGAACAGAACTCCGCAAATCTCCCATAACTGTGTTGTCCACTACTTTTATCATTAAAGAAGTAGATGTGATCTTCTGAGTACTCCATGGGAACAGATGTAGGTAAGAAAACAGTTCTCAGAGCTGCACTGCAGTTTGAGTGAAGTGATTCCTTAAATGTGGAGCATACATTTCCTTTCCCACAGTACATTTGTCCGACCATTGTAATCACAAGAGGCAGGACTCCCAGTTCGGTGTCTTCAATTCTTCCAAAATGCTGTGAAAAGTAGTCTTAGCTGCATATCCATAGACCAGAAAGATAAGACTTCAGTCAATAAGGTCATGGGGTGAATGCTGCCCATGGATGCACGTGCTGTGACTGACATCAAGAATTACACGCAAGAGCAGAATTTTCATCTCTTTCTGCAAGAACGGCTTTGCAGAAATCATTCACAGCTAATAAAAAATGCTCTGCTATTATTTTTGCATAAACAAAACCTTGGGTTTTCCAGCCTTAACCCCTCAGAACAATACACTTTGACACTTCCAGAAATTAAAATGCAGCAAAGTTGTAGCTTAGAAGTGGTTCAGTCTTGGATTTCTTTAAAGAAGCCCCTCCCCCTGCATTTTAATGGCTGCAGGAGTATCCAAATGAACACCAGGGTTCTGGTAAAGTCACACTAACGTGTCTTGAAGCAACTTGTTTATGAGGAGCCACTTAACTATTCAAAACCTTTGCATGTACTTGCTGTTGGCATAGACTCTTAGTCTGGACGGCTTTCATACAATATATACAGATTTTGGAAGGGAGTATTCTGATTTGTTTGCAGCACATCTGTTATTTGCACTCGCACAAATTAGCTCCAAAATATTACTGTAAAATGCAGCAAAGTTGTTTAAATAGCTAATAATTAAATGAGCACCTGTCCAAAAGGCCTTTGCAATCAAGCAGCATTTGCAGACTTCATTTACATTTGACGTAGCAAAGTGTGTACTAAGTAAAATTAGTTTTTGCTGAGCCCTTACCTGGCATCTACAGTTCAGTGTCCCACAGGACTGCACAGAGTTCCGTATTGTATTACATTCTCAGTACTGTGTGCGAAGAATTAGTCTCACAGCCGTCACTGAAGTGCACATGAAAAGGTATTCTCGACTGCACAGCTCAGCAGAGGGCATGGGCCTATTGATGTCTGGAGACTGCTTCTCTTCAGTGCTAGACAAGGTGACCTCCCCCTTGCTGATTGCGTCTAAGGACATCCACAAAGAGTCTGACAAAAGAAATGAAACAGGAGCTGATGCCAGAGTACTTTAAATCCCCCTTTCCCCCCTACACACACACAGTGGAGAGAAGCATGTAGCACAGTGTGGTGTTTCTTAGATTCTTAAGTTCAGAAGCTAACACTCAGCCTTTAAACCCATGGTTTCACTGAGATCTGAATTCTTTTCAAAATGAACCTGAAAAAGATACCCCTGTGCATGCCAAGAACGTGATCTAGCTCCCACCACGGTCAATGGCAATGCTCCAGCTGACTTCACAAGTGCAGGACTGTCATGCCCTTATTCTGTAACCTTCATCTCTTCATTTTTATCTTCCTTGAGGAAAAATATACTTGACAGTCACAGCAGGCATCTAAGCACGGGGGGGGGAAAGATTGGCTCTAATAAGGACTGTGTGGTAGCTTTTTTTGTATTCAGCCATATTTTTTAAAATACACGTAGACATGTAAAACTAATGAAAAATGTGGCCTCCTTTGTGAATAATTACTTCTTGAGCACAGCATACAAGCTTGTGTATGGATCAAGGGGTCTGGATATTCACTTCAAGAGCTTTTGCTGCCCAGGTCTAAATATTGCGTGTTACATGGTTGAATCCCGTGACAATCTGTGCCAGAACTGACAATCCTTTTTCTTTAAAATCTCTGCTAGAGATAAAAGAAAATAACGTAACCACTCTAAAATGGTTTCATACTGCTCGACTACCCCTTAAGCTTAAGCTTATCGTGTAGTCAAGTGGTGTACAGGAAGCCCCCGACTTGCGACCACCCGAGTTCTGACCCATCCCTCCCACACTTACCATTTTTGTAAGTACGGAAGGGGTCAAAAACCCCCGACGTTCATCCTCAGCCCACATTTACTCTGGCACACGGCGCCTGTCATAAATGAAGGTTCAAGTTACAATGCCCCCGACTTGCGATGCTTCCCTCGGAACCAATTGCGTCACAAGTCGGGGGCCTCCTGTACTCAACTTACTTCTCCTCCCCCACCTTTGCTGCCTCTGTACAACCCTGCCGGAGCAGCCTCTGTCCGTGGCCAGCTGAGGTGCCGCAAATAGGGGCTGTTGGATCCCGCGCGAGCTGGAACCGAACAGTCCCACCTCGCGTGGGTCCAGAACTGCTGCGCCTCTGCATTTTAAATGTAGTAAGAGCCACTGGGCTCTTACTACATTTAAAAAGCAGAGGTTCAGCAATCCCAGAGCGAGCCTCCCTTATCAGCTAATTGTGTAGTTAATACAAATTGTATCGACTACATGATTAGCAAAATACCCATTCCTTAACATCCTGTTTTCATACCCAACTCTCTAGCTATTTTTGTCCTTCTGAGAATAATAATTTCTTTCGGTTTGTCATAGGATCCATGGACGAAGTTTTGGCTTCTTTAAAACGTGGTGAAATTCTTCTTCGTAAAGTTGAACAGCCCAGTTTGCCACCTTCGAATGCCTCTATAAATGACAGCATCCTCTCTGCTATAAGGCAAGGAGTTAAGCTAAAGAAAGTGACTCAAGATCCCAAGAAAGATATTAGTAAAGGATCCGACAGCGAACTGGAGAGAAGCATAAAGGCAGCCATCCAGAGAATTAAAAAAGTGTCTGCTGATTCTGAAGAGGATGAAAATAGTGATCACAATAATGGAGAATGGGATAGTTAATTGATCTAGACCCAGAGATATATTGGCTGGAACACTGTTTTTGCCAGTTTGCACACTTTGGGAGCTGAGTTCAGTCTTTGGAGAAATGAACGAGTGCACGTCTATGGGAGAACCAATCCCATGATAGTTCAAAAACTCCTGTATATTATTTTAAACTGTCCTGTTGATTCTTTGCAGAGGTTAAGTATTTGAGATACAGGCAAAGCATAGTTTAAAATATATTCTTACGAGGTGAAAAGAGATTCCAGCTCACCCAGACTGACTCAGAGCTCTTCAGTGTAGCTGCCGCAAAAGTGGGCTATAAGTTCATCGGGGTTAGCCCCAGTGGGCTGCTGGCACTTTATTTACCTGCATGTCCACAGATATGGCTACATGGAGCGACAAGCAGCTGTACCTGTGTACCTGCCGACATGCAGGTAAATCAAGAGTCAGCATCCTGCCAGGGGCTAACTCCTGTGAATCATGTGCAGCCCATGGGCTGCTTATTACCCACCCCTGAGCTACAGGAAGCTAAATCCAGGAACACAATCTCCAAATTACTTTGTGGTGCTGACTTCTGTATCGTTAATGAGAGAGCTACCACCAACTTTTATAGTAATAAAAATCAACAGAAAATCTGTTTCAGACTTAAAAAATAATCCTGGCATTAAAAAAGCAAAATCAAATCCTGAGAGAGCTTTTTAAAGGAGTTTGAAATCCTTTACATTGCTATTTCCAGAGACTGTTTTCCTTGAACTCTGTACTGCCCATAATACAAATTACTCTCAACATTTGTGAATAAGGGCTTTGCTACTCATTAGTAAATAAATTACCATGACATTGTAAGGCCTGCACTGTGGATGAACTCAGTACTCATGAAGAGAAATATTGTATATTGAAATAAGCACTACTGTATTAAAGTCCTGAAAGTTTGTTTCAGATATGAGCAGGGAAACTAATGGGCTTTCCAACTTACATGGATTGTGATTTTTTTAATATTTAAAGTGTTTTCAAGTACAGTGTCTTTATTAACACCACCAGCAGTCATAGTGAATTGTTGGCATAGGAGAGGATGCCAAAATATTTTATGTTCTGCATTTTCTGGGATCCAGAAGTGCTGGATAGAGTGCTGTTACACTTCTATGTGGGGAAAATGAGATTTCATATCTGTGCTCATAATTTTATAATAGCCCAGACAGCCTTATAATATGTGACAAGTATTTACATTATGCCTGGAACCCAACTATTAAAGTATACAATTAAACTGTATTTATAGATCTTATTTTATCTTTTCTTGAATTGAGTGATACATATAAATGAATCTCTATTTTGTTCTTTGAGTTTATATTGACCTTTGATTTAAAAAACAAACTACCTTAACACTATGGATGGGGTGTTTTTATTCTCATTTTTAAAACTGTCAACAGTTTGGTTTTAGCTACTGATTCCTTCTTATCTTCAATGCAAAACTTCAAGTCCTTGTCTCAAAAATCTTGACAAGTGCTTTTTTTTGTTAATAAGCTGCAACCTTACAGTGATTGTGCTCTGCCACAATAGGGGACCTTGCTTTCTCAAAGATTTTTATATTGTAATTTGGTAGCAAACGTGAAAGGATGGTAGCTTTAACTCCTTGTTCTTCTATGGTGGAGCGTGGTGATGTAGATCTGAACAAGTGCCACAGAACATCACATTAATGAAAGCTGTTGATTCAGCAGGGCAAGACTAATGAAAGTGGGGTTGAAAGTGTGGGACTAGATGCATCAACCAGAATGTTAAGGGAGGGAGAAAGCGGAAGAAGTGTGAAGTTTCACAAATCTCTTGCATTTTTTCAAAAAGTTCTTAAGAGTCTAGGTCAGCTGTTCCCAACCTTTTCCAGATGGGGACCCATTGTGACAAGTCAGGAAGACTTGGTGACCCAGGGCAATTCAAAAACGGGGGGGAGGAGGGAGGGTAGAGCCACCTGGGGAAATACTTGGCCATCCTTTTGAAATGTAATGGTGACCCTTATTTGGGTCCCGACCCATAGGTTGGGAAACCCTGGTCTAGGTGGTTTTTTGAGAAGCAATTTACATAACAACTCCCCCTTATTAAAAAGTTACAAGTTTTTGAATTAGAACGGTCTAAATCTGGGTTTCCTCTTTGACAGAAGATTTGTTAAGATCTAAAATCGTGGTACAGCCAGTCTTTGGAGTCTTGTGGGCATGGATTGGTATATTTTCATCCGGCATCATGCGACTGCAAGAGAGGCTGGCTCTGTGAAACCTAGCCCTGGTCTGTGTATATAATTCAGCAAAGTACAACACCTTAGTGGTGATGGGGGAACTGTGCAAAAAGCAATTGGTCATGAATCTTTAGCTGACGAAAATATTGGCATGTCACATGTATGCAGATGAGTGGGCTTTTTTAAATTACTATTACGCTAGACAAAAAGGTACCAGCTTCAGCTTAATATTAGAGGCATTGTTAGGAGCACCTGAAACTCCCCTGCTGGAGGGCTTCTTTCACCTAAGTCACTTACACGCTTCAGGTCATAGATTTAGCTCGTGTGAGCTGATGTCACACCACTTGATTTCAGAGAGCTCATCGATTTGCAGGGAACTTGTCTTTTGCTTTTCTTATTAAACTAACAACTGTGACAGTTGCTTTAGTCAGTGGTTAATCATATATTCTTGTCTTAGCCTTCTTCCTTCACTCTATTATAGCAAGCACAATCTCAGCTTATATTAAAGGTGGTGCTTCACTAAGACTTGTATCCCACACTAGTGTTTGATGCTGCTTTAGCACTTTCATCTCTTGCCCTGTGCTTTATTTTTAGTGTAGTTCCTTATGGGAAGCAGGAGAAGCTATTCTGATACAACTGCATCTGCACTAGTGAGACTTCGCAGTATAACTACACTGGTACAACTTGTGTGTTTGTAGACATCACTTATATATCTTTGAAACACAATGGGGTTTAGGTTCCACAGTCAATTTTAGGCACTTTGGAAAGTTTTATCCCTGAAGTCACAAAGACTGACTGCAATGAAACATAGTAGCAACTCTTCTATTCTGAAGTGATGGACCATAGTACCCAAAACACATTCAAAACATCTATCACCCGCTTGTGATTAAATTTCCACTTAGGGGACATTCCTATCTGGGAGAGAGAGAAACCTCAGTTACTTTTTTATAATGGGCATGGCTAGAATTCTGTGGGCAGGTGAGGCTATGTGTTTCTAAAATAAAAACGAGTCCTATGTTACAAAGCCAAGCATTTGTTTCATAGGCCAAATCCTGAGGTGAGTTTTGCAAGTGTAAATCACGAATCATTCCACTGATGTCAAAAGTGGCAGAACTGGCAACTAGAGGATCTGACAAAACTGGGCCTTTCTGCAAGGGGGCATCAGGAGAAAGGTGCAGGGCTAGAGCAATGAGCCCTCCACCCCACCCTCCCCCAGCCAGCCCTCATAGCCACCCGGAGTGTGCCGCAAAGTTGGCCCCTTTTCTTCCCCAGGTTGGCAGGTCTGCTGCCAACTGAACTCTAGTGGAGCATTAGATAGGTCAGTCAAGTTGCTGCTGATTTAGGAGCAACTATCCAGTGAGCAGATGGTTGATGTCTGTGTTATGAAAAGGCCAGGGTGAAGCAAGGGCCATATCATTTTTGTCTAGAAGTGCTGAGGTTCATGGTCATTTGATCTCTTCCAAGAGTGTATTTCAGCTTCACTAGAACACCTCAGTCCTCATCTGGTACATCAGGCACAAGGGTCTGCCTATGTGATTATGGCCTTACAGGCCAGCTCTGTTCCATAGACTACCCAGCACTAAAAACCCACCTCAAGAATAAAACATGTCACAGAAATCCATGACTACAGTAATGCAATAGTAAGAACAAAGCCAAATTTTTCAGTCACATAGTTTATTTACTAAAACATGCAACAAAACAAATTGTGGGGTGGGAGGGGGCACTTTGCTAGAAGTTTTGTAAATGGTATCTCAGTGTCAGAAAACTGGGGTCAAGTCCCTCCTCCCCATCATCTGTAAAAGGGAGGGGAACTTGGATCTCCCATGTTCAAGGAGAAGACTCAGACCACTGGCCTATGGGCTAGCTTTGGTGGGGGGAGGTGCACCCTTTGTCTATCCTGTTAAAGCGGTTCCATTTTGTATAAATATTCACTAAAGCACAGATTTGGACTTGAATCTCCCACATCCTAGGTGAGTGTTATATGCACCAGATGATCCTATGATTCTCTGAATCTTTCCTAGCACAATGACTGTTCATTTTCATGACTGTTTCATTTCATATTGGCCATTCATTCATTCATTCGAGTGGTCACCTCTCATACTGTTTGCCAACTGTTGGACTGGGCCCTACTTTGCAATCCCTTGTGTATCATGTTCAGACTCTGCAATTCTGTTTTGTCCAGGGAGCAATCGCGGTAGTAATCAAACTTCTCCTTAAAACAAGGTGGCGGCTGCGTCACAATCTACAGCTGAGAAGCGCTAGATACAAGCAAGGCATTATTTAGAACAAAAAGATTTCCATGAAAACTCTGCAAATAATAAACCAGACCGAATCTAGCATTTATTGGTGGCTTATCAGTCACCTGCTTGGGAAAAACCCTACTGGTCAAAGGCCTGCTGCAGTCTCTCTGAGTTACCTTTCTCTGTGCTAAAACAGTGGTTCCCAATCTTTTTCAGCAAACCCATTCACAGACTTTTGGCAGACCAGTAACATTTGCATATTCATTATATTAATTAATTTTAAGAGGTCACATGTTTTACATCTTGTCTGTACATCACACAACAGGTGTCTTTGTAACAGATCAGACTTTGTCAGTATCTACACACTTAAAAAATTCTGTTAAAAGAATCCTTTCCTTTCTTATCTTGAGCTATTAACACCTATGAAACTTTGTTGGAAATGTAATCATGCAAATGTTATGAGCTAGGCCTTTTGTTCCGCACCTGCACCCTGGAGGGAAACAAGTTAGACACCCCAGACTCCCCTCTGTCCTCACCTCACTGCACCAGTGCCCACCCCTGGAGCAAGGGAGATGCTCACAGTGAGGCCCCTCCCAGCCTGCATGTCCTACACGTGAACTGGGCAGAGTGGCTCATGTCTGGTGCCCCTGAGGAAGGCAGGATGCTCCCACCCACCTTTAGGACTGGGGGATGCTCATGGGGAAGCAGGAAGGTCTCACAACTCCGCTGTCAGCAGCCATGGCCCCCTGGTGGTCCCTCTGCGGCTCCCTCAGCAACAGTGGGGTCCCATCCTGACCTGGCCACGCCGCTGCTCTGTGCCGGGGGAGAGGAGCTAGAGTAAACACTCGGCCGCAGGAGCAGACCTGTGGCAGCTAGTGCTCTGTGCAGCAGGCAAGGTGGTCTCCTGCTTGTTCCCCCCTGGCAGCCCCTGCCCTCCGCTGAGCTGGGAAAAGGAGGGAAGGTGGCGAAGGGCTTGGCACCCCCATAAAGCCGTGGGTGAGATCAGCACAGGGACCATGGGGGAGGACATTTGTGTTCCCCTTCCCTCCCTCTCATGTATGGGCCTGTTAAAGCATAAGCATGGCCTGGCAGTGTGCCATGGCTCAGCAGCCAGCGGTTCGCGGCCCAGCACTGGTCCACAGACTGGGAACCACTGTGCAAAGGGACCCCACATCCTAGGTCCCTGGGAAAGGCTTTTCACTGTGTTACTGCTTTTTTGACCTCTAGCTTCTGCAGCTTTAGCAACAAGGTTGTTCTCTATTGGCAACCAGCCACAAGGGGCATGACACTAGCAGCTTCACACTGTGGCTTTCAAGTGCGGGTTGGGATGGTCTTGGCAATGGGGTTGTTTCCTGTTAGCACTGAGCTGTTGCATGGGGGCTGTTGGAAGACCAAGCATACAAGACATTCTTATGACCCAATAGACAGGCATGTCCCCTTGCTGGCCCCTCAGCATTGCTAATCCCCTTACATAGTGTCTGTCCCATTCAGGGCCAGTACAAACCTCTCCACACCTGCTCAAAGTGAGTTTCTTAAATGGGTGGGGGGGACATATAAGGTCGCATGACTTTGCCCCTCCCCCTATTCTCTACCAGGCAGGGTTCACATTGGAATTTGGCCAGCAGCCGTCTTCTGGCACCGTGTCAGAGGGTAGGGATGGGAGCTGCTTCAAGCTGCAGGGAAATGTCCTGGCCTGTGTCTTTCCAGCACTCATCTCTTCTCCCCCTGGCTGGAAGCAGTTTGTTCCGTCCCGCCCACATAGCATCAAAAGGCAGCTATTACCTCCAGGCCACCGACATAATCCGGGGCGGTAATAATTTTTGATGGGGGACTACAAGAATTTGGTATGTGGTCAAGGGCCATGGTAATAATTTTTGATGGGGAACTA